TCTGTGCTTCTGGACAGGCCTTGTGGCCCCTTGCTTGTGTAGAGATGCTTGTCATGCATGTCTTGTACTCTTGCATCTCTTATATCTGCTATATCCTTGCATGTGAACTGGCCTTGTGGCCTCTTGTTTGTTCTCGGACTGCGTGGTGATCTTGAGATCCACCCCGAGATTTGTTTTGTTCTTCTGAATTGGTCCTGTGACCCTTGCTCTTAGATTGTGTGTTGCTTTCCACAGGACTACTGTCACCTAGACTATGGGGGTGTGTCAAACTATAATTGTTATGGTTTGTATTTTCTAGTCTAGGTGGTATACACTTATGTTTAGGGTTAGCTAGGGTTGACCAGGGTTTGCTATATCTTCCTTGTCTTTGTCATTTCTAGTCATTCATTATTCCGTTACTTCCCTGCCCTGCAGCCCGCGCGCTGCAGTGTCCTGCCCTTAGGCCCGCGCGTCGCCCTCCCCTTAGGCCCGCGCGTCGCCCTGCCGTTAGGCCTGCGCGCTGCCCTGCCCTTCAGCCCGCAACCGCGCTGCCCTGCCCTTCAGCCCGCAACCGCGCTGCCCTGCCCTTAGGCCCGCGCGCCGCCCTGCCTTGCAGCCCGTGTCTGCGCTGCCCTGCCCTTAGGCCCGTGCGCCGCCCTGCCCTTAGGCCCGCGCGCCGCCCTGGCCTTAGGCCTGCGCACCGCCCTGCCCTGCAGCCCGCGCGCCGCCCTGCCCTTAGGCCCGCACGCCGCCCTGCCCTTAGAGCCGCGCTGCCCTGCGCCGTGCGCTGCCCGCGCGCGACTGCCATAGCCCTGCCCCACGAGCAACTTGCACTAGAGCACCTAGTTACTCGCGCACTTCCCTAGCTGCTCCTGCGCTGTTGCTACTGTCTGCCACTGACTGCCATGGCCACTACTAATGTCCTACGTCAGCGGCAGCCGAGTGTGCAGGAGTCTGTGGTGGGGCAGTTCCGGTGGCGGAGCTAGCCGTGCTCGTCGACAGAAGCCGCTTTTGCCAGAGCAGCGTCGTGAGTGGGCTGTCCGGTGGGGTGCTACTACTGGAGGTACCTATGAGTCTACTCCTGCCGGTAGTGCCGCTAATAGACGCGGAGGTTCTGGGGGTGGACAGCAGCAGCAACAGCGTCCGCTGGAGACTCTCTCCCCGCAACAACTTCGTGAGTGGGCTGTCCGGTGAGGCAGCCCCGGTGGCAGAGGGTTTCGGGGTACTCGTACTGGGGGTGTAGAGGCACCTGGTGGCGTAGAGGCTACTAGTCTCGGTGCGTGTGACTCAGCTAGCACAAGGGCAGAGCCTGAGGAGGCATTGCACACTTTTACTCTAGACTCAGGCGCGTCTCGCTGCTTCTTCCGCGACAGCACCAGCGTCACACCGCTCCCAGCCCCTGTCCCTGTCACACTGGCCGACCCTTCAGGGGGCCCGGTAGTCGCGCGTGGCGCTACTGTTCTCCCGTGTCCGACGGCCCCTTCCGTCCTCCTCACAGGTCTCCACCTCCCCTCGTTCGCTAAGAACTTGGTGGCTACCTCTGTCCTCCAGGACCAGTGGGTCACTATCACCCAACCTGGAGGAGAGCTAGTGGCGATCTGTACGGACTCGCGCACTGGTGAGCACCTCGCCACGTTCACCCGGAGGCCTGGGTCTGGCCTGTACACACTGACCACTAAGTCTGCACTGGTAGCTGAGTCAGGTCAGGTAGCTGCGTTGGTTGAGGTCGCTGCGTCTTGCTCGTGTCGTCTCCTCACGCACCAGACTCTCCTCTGGCACCACCTTTTGGCCACCCCTCCTTGCCACGCCTTCGTGGCATGCACTCCCGTCTCCTTGTCTCTGGGCTTTCCAGGTCCCTGCCCCCACTCCCGAGGTCGCTTGCGCCGCCGTGCCTTCCCTGCGTCGAGGGGCGGCAGCGCGCCGCTCCTCATTCCTCCTCGTTTCCTCCGACCACAGCTCCTCTGCAGTCCCTCCACATGGTCGTGTGGGGTCCAGCCCGAGTCCCTGGACAGGGCGGAGAGCGCTACTTCTTGCTGGTTGTAGACGACTACACGCGCTACACCACGGTCTTCCCCTTGCAGAGCAAGGCGGAGGTCTGCAGTATTCTGATCCGCTGGATCCGTTCTGTCCGTCGCCAGCTCAGTGCTCGGTTTCAGCAGGACCTCCCGGTCCTGCGACTGCACTCTGACCGAGGTGGTGAGTTTTCATCCGGCCTCCTCGAGGACTTCTGTGGTAATAAGGGCATCCGCCAGACGTTCACGCTTCCGGCCTCTCCAAAGGAGAATGGGATTGCAGAGCGCCGCATTGGCTTGGTGATGGAGGTTGCTCGCACCTCCATTGTCCATGCGGCTGCTCCCCATTTTCTGTGGCCGTTTGCGGTCCGATACGCTGCTGAGCAACTCAACCTCTGGCCCCGTGTCTCCCACCAGGAGACCTCTCCCGCTCTGCGGTGGACGGACGAGGTTGGTGATGCGTCGCCGTTTCGGGTCCGGGGTGCCCTCTCGCTTGTTCACGACCCCCCCTCGGGGAACCTCTCTCCCCGCACTCTTCGATGCGTCTTCCTTGGTTTCCCTACCGACGCCCCGGGCTGGCAGTTTTACCACCCGGGTTCTCGTCGTGTTCTCTCTTGCCAGGACGTCACTTTTGACGAGTCTGTCTGCTTCTACCTTCTCCACCCCCACCGCAGTTCACCCGTGCCCCTCCCGCCTCTCGCACTGGTCTCCGACCCCCCCCCGGTAGCCCCCCTCCCTCCTCCTGGTCCCGCTCCCTCAGGTGTGTCTCAGGTAGACCCACCCCCCTTGGTTGAGCCTTTGGAGGTCTCCTCAGACACCTCTGGCCCAGCTGAGGGGGGTGACCAGACTGCTACTGACACCGTGACTCCTCGCCGCTCCGCGCGCTTGGCGGTCCCTCCTGGTTTTCAGCCTCGACCGTCTTCACCACCTCTGCGGCCCGTCGCTGTGGACTCTGGTGCTGCTGGAGGTGGTGACACTGGGGGTGCGGACTCTGGGGGTGCTGGCTCTGGGGGTGCTGCGAGTCCTACGGGTGCAGGGGGTGCTGGAGGTGCTACTGCTGGAGGTTCTGCGGGTGGAGGTGCTGGTGGTGCTGGTGCTGGTGGTGCTGGTGCACGTCGGCAGGAGAAGTATTGTCACGTGCGCACGGGAGCAGCGTTTTCTAACATTTGGCACGCACGGGAAGTGCACGTGCGCTTCAATTGGGCACTGCATGCTGGAATGGACGGCCCGTTATTGTCTTGTTATGATGATCACATTGATTAATGTTGCCTTTTTGGTAGCCATTGTTATCCATAACCACAAACCGTAATTGCAGGCTTGTGTGGAACCCCTGAAAAGCATATCAGAGTTGATTAATATTATAAGGCACGAATATAATTCATGAGGATAATGATAAATATATACACGTAGTTGAGTTGACTAACATTGATAGAATATATTTTCATCAGGACATTAAAGCTGTCGTCTACATACCTGGCGGGAGAGGCTATGGTTTATCACTTGAAAACCAGGTAGCCTTCCGCTTCAGTGGCGAGGTGTGTTTCCGAGTTTGTGACAACACAACCTCCGCCTGTAATTTCCCTGCTCATGATTGGCTAATTAATTTCGTCAATCCCCTCCCCAACCCAACCTCACGAAATTATCGCGAAGTCGCCGAGGGTTGTTTCCCAACCGAACCAAATCACGAAACTGGCGGATTTCGCCAGTTCTGTTTGACTCCCTCGCACCTACTGATACTGGAAGCGGGTCATTCGTAAGCAAATCAGCGTGCGTCGTTGGGTGTGCATCCTAAATAACCCCGGAAAATACATCGATGAATGTAGACCGCAGCTTTAAGAATTCGTCTTGGTAGTGTATCATTTCAGGTGCCGTATGAGAATACCTATGCTTCAGATCCAGGGGAAAATATGCCACAAGTAACCATCTTGGGACTCGATAACGTGAATGGTAAAAAAAAAACGCGTACGGTCACTGTATCGGGTTTTCTGACGGGTTTGGTAAGTGGGGTCACGGATTCAGTCACTAACAACAGGTAAAAAATCACGTGAATGGTCACACATGTAACTCCCGCCAAAAAAACTTGAAACTCAACAGAATTCCCGCTCGCGCCTAACCAATCTGCTAACTTCTAACAAAACTAAAACCCAATCGGAATCGGATGCAACTTGGGAACGGATCAACCCTAAACACCTGGCGAGTTACGTGTTTAGGGTTGATTCATCCGAAAATGCATCCAGGTTCCTTTTGGGTTTCATTTTGTTTTGGCGGGAGTTTCATCTATGACCATTCGCGTTTTTTTTTACCATTTGATAGTGACTGATTACGTGAAACGTTTTATCAGTCGCGTGAAAACACCCTTTGCAGTGACCGTACCCTTCATTTTCTTACCAAATATGTTATGGAGTCCCATGCTGGTTACGAATGGCATATTTTCCCCAGATCCAGCATCTGCAGCTCCCATTCAGAGAGCCCAGAGATTCCCCCGCTGACACTCCCTTTGGCGCCTTCGGTTCGGCGCGCGTTTCAGTGCTCCCTCAGCCGTTCCCCCAATCCAACTGCTTGACAGGCAGACTTGCCTGGGGGTGGGGCGACCACAACCAGATCGCGCCAAGAGGACCTCTCCGCGCCATCGGGTTCCTTCCGCCACCCAACTTGCCTTCGTACCCTATCCGCGGGCCCGCGTCCTCCACAGTCGCCTTCCGCAACAGCCTCCCCTTCCCCGCCTTTTTGTTCCTGTTTCCGCCCGGCCCTCCTCCCCTCCCCTTGTTCCTCTGTCCACCCTACCCTATCCTCCCATGTTCACATCTCCCATCTCTTTTCTTGCATCTAAGTTCCCATTTCCCTAACCACTGGGAGATTCTTCTCCTCGCTTGGTGGTGATCGATTTGGCTGTTGTTCCTGGATCTGTAGTTTTCTTAGCAGCTGCGTGTCCCTGTTGTTGGGATTTTCGTCTTGCGGCTTTGATCTGCCGCTGTGGAGCTAGGGGCTTGTCAGATTCCAGATCTCAAGATGTATCGCCTCAGCAGTGTAGGGCGGATAGCCGCCCTTGCGTGCGTGCTGCTGTCGGCCTCCCTGCTAGCAGCTCCTTCACATGCCTTCTACCTACCTGGAATGTACCCGAAGGCTCATGCTCCGAATTCCGTGATCAACGTCAAGGTGAACTCGCTTACTTCTAACGAGACGGGCCTTCCCTTCAACTTCTACAGCCTTCCGTTCTGCAGGCCTGAGGAGGGTATTCAGAAGCTGGACGAGAATTTCGGCGAGGTTCTGGTGGGAGACATGATCGAGAACTCGCCGTACAAGTTTAACATGCTCGTCACGCAGCGCGCCGTCAAGGTCTGCGATTCCGGCCCGCTGAACGAATCTGACGTGGAGCACTTTAAGATGCGCATCGACGACCATTACCACATTAATCTGCTGCTGGACAACTTGCCTGTGACCCTGTACGCGCTGGAGGAGAACCCCGGCGACATTCTTACCGGATTCCCCATCGGTTACGTCAGCAACGGCCAGTACTACATCTACAATCACATCCTTTTCAAGGTTCTCGTGCACGAGTACAAGGAGACTCCTGCCGGCCTGGCTGGCATGTCTATTGGCGATTCCACGCTGGATGTTCTTCCGGAGGAGGGTCTTCCCGAAGGAAAGGGGAACTCAGGATTTCTTGTCGTTGGATTCGAATCAGCAGCGTGCAGCATCCGCCGTGTCCCGGATCAGTCGAAGCCGCGCTACACCGCTCTGGATCCAGTGGACTGCTTCAAGACCGATCCGCAGCCCATCGCACCGGGCGAGACCATCGTGTTCACCTTCGACGTGCTGTGGGAGAAGAGCGACATTCAGTGGGCCAGCCGATGGGACGCATACCTGAAGATGCGCAGCGACCAGGTGCACTGGTTCTCCATCCTTAACTCGCTCATGGTTATCTCCTTCCTCGCCGGCATGGTGTTCGTCATTCTCCTGCGCTCCGTGCATCGCGATCTGGCGAAGATCGAGCAGCTGGACAAGGAGGAGGCGCAGCAGCTTGCGGACGAGAGCGGGTGGAAGCTCGTGGTGGGTGACGTGTTCCGCACGCCCAACTACCCGGGCATTCTCTGCGTCGTCGTCGCCAACGGCACGCAGCTCATCGCCATGGCGACCGTCACCATCTTCTTCGCCGCGCTCGGTTTCATGTCGCCAGCGTCGCGCGGAGCGCTGCTGATGGGCATGGTGTTCCTGTACCTGCTGCTCGGTGCCGCCGCCGGCTACGTGGCCGCCCGCCTGTGGGTGACCCTTACCGGGCTCACGGAGGGAGCGGTGGTTCTGGCGTTCAAGGTGGCGTGCTTCTTCCCAGGCATCTGCGCCGTTGTGCTCACCCTGGTGAACTTCCTCCTGTGGGGCACGGACAGCACCGGCGCCGTGCCGCTGACGCTCTACTTCTACCTCTTCTTCATCTGGTTCGTCATCTCCGTGCCGCTCACCATCGCCGGCACCCGCGCGGGCTTCAAAGCGGATCGCCTGCAGTACCCCGTGCGCACGAACCAGATCCCGCGCCAGATTCCGGAGCAGAGCTACTCCCCGTGGCTGCTGATCATCGGCGGCGGCATCCTGCCGTTCGGCACGCTGTACATCGAGCTGTTCTTCATCATGTCGTCCATGTGGATGCAGCGCATCTACTACGGCTTCGGCTTCCTGTTCATCGTGCTCGTGCTGCTGATCGTGGTGTGCGCCGAGGTGGCCGTGGTGTTCACGTACCTGCAGCTGACCATGGAGGACTACCGCTGGTGGTGGCGCAGCTTCTTCGCGTCGGGCGCCGTGGCGTTCTACGTGTTCCTGTACTCGATCAACTACCTGATCGTGGACCTGCACCGCATGCACGGCACGCTGTCCGCGATTATCTTCATGTGCTACTCCGTGCTGATGACGCTCGCGATCTTCCTCGCTACCGGCGCCGTGGGGTTCTTCTCTTCTGCCTACTTCGTCTATTACCTCTTCTCGTCCGTCAAGCTCGACTAGACGCACGCGCGCTTTAAGGTGAGATTTGGATGGGACGGGATGGGTTGAATGGGGTATGTGGACTTTTGTTGCCGTGTCAGTTAGTGCTGGTTGATATATTGGAGAACGTAAAACTGGGGCCTCGTGTGCCAGCAGCCTTTTCCTGGTGTACATCCTCGGTATCCATGCCGCTTTGATGTGCAATTGCTTGAGTCTGGTTGATTAGCTATGTGCTACAGTATCTGGTCCTTTCTGCTTGGTTTAAATTAAGCTGAAGGGTCTTACATAGGGATTGTGAGGTGATGGATGGCAACATAAGTTTATGCGCGGTCAAAGGAACAAAGAATGTGAATGGTGTGATGCAGGGTTGGTTGTACGGTACCAGCAGTAAGTATACTGGACGTGCTGGGGCTTATCGTGTGGGGCACATTGTTGGGTCTGTATGTGATTAGAGCTGTACTGAGTGTTGGTCTTTCAATTTCGTAGTCTTCCTACAGCAATCTGCGGGCAGGTTCAGACCGCTTCGTTTTACCTTCTTTTGATACATGTCCAATGTTTCCCTCTTGAAGCTACTTGATCTTTGTTTGAGCCCCCACTGTCACTTCGTGTTTGTATTTCGTTTCTTCCACCCAATGTGTGTACATTCGTCAACAGGCCCACCATTCAGTCCCCAAGGGAGGTTGGCGCAAGACTTGTCTCAGCACTAGCCGGTTTCTGCTGGTTAGGTCTATGCTGGTTAGGTCTATGCTGGTTCATGCCTGTGCTGTGGGTATGGGTGGGGGTGGTGGATGTCATGTTTAGGCAAGCATACAGTCATCATTTAGCAAGTGGCCCTTTGTCTTGTGGCATATGCTGTGGTGGATAAGGTCTGGATTATTTGAAGGATCTAGCTCGTGCTACCATTTTTATTTCTGTCGGTGGATGCTAAATGTCACAATTGTAGGGTGATGACGACCACCAGACTCTTATTTTTGTGTTCCCCCCTCAACCCTTTACATGGTACACTCGGTTGGTGTTGGACCACATTACCTCCGCTTTGCCCCATTCAGTAGGATTGATTTGAATTCCACTTTCTTTATCAGAATTGAGAAAGCTTGCTTTCTTGTCCTTATAATTTGGCATCTCTCTCATTAAACAATTTTTTAAAACACCAATGTGTCTAAAATTATAATATTTCAGGAGGAATTAGTGCGCCCTTGCTTTCCACTTGCTGCCCACCTCTCCCCCCCTTCCAATCTTGTACGGTACCTTAGAAGCAAACAAGTGTTCATAAAATAGCTTTACCAATTGTCTTTGCATTCATGAAGATAGGGTAAAGAACCACTCTGTATCTAGGCTACTTGGAAGAGCGAACTGCTGATGGGTTCTTCCGCAGCGCGGGTGAAGACTGATCGTTTTAGGGTTTGAACTGTCCGGACCATTGGTTTACCGAAAGGCGGAACGTCGAAGACCACCAGCTTGCGCCAATTATCAAAGTTTTGATGGATGTCCTTGGTTTCTGTACTCGTGCCTCCCCGTTAAAGCAAGGGTGCACTTTGGGGGGGGTGGACCCAAAGGTTTATCACTTGCCTTGAGTGGTTACCCTGTTTGTGCTTGGGAGCCCGACGAGAAACAAAGTTCAGTCTTGGCGGACTTGCGCGGGGTATCTCTCCCCCGTCGTCAGCTGCGACGCCCCTGCTGGGAGTTGGGAACTTGAGTTACTCAAAGCAGTTTGTGAACCAAAACGAGTTGACCAGCAGACAGTGTCCCTCACACACGATGTTATCACTTGGCCATAAATGACGCGACCCAAAACAGCAAGAAGAGCACAGATTAGCTAGTCTAACCGTCTCGCAGCCACACCCGCCCATCGTCTTCATTTCGCTCGACCAGGGTTCAGTGTTGTTTGCAGTCACTCGACGCTTTTTGTGGTTGTTCATCGCGATCCGCATTTAGCGCGCCCTTATCCGCGACGGCGCACGCAGAGGGCGCGACTTCACCATCCAGGCTAAGGGACGTCCGCGCTCACAACGAGAAGCCTAACGTGCAGCGAAATCGTACAATATCTCTTGCACTGCCCCCCATCGCACGCGTTTCCGTGTCGACGTCGCCATCGCGCACTCCCTCCCATCGCCCACGCACACTCCCCTCGTCCGCCCACGCGCACTCCCCTCTTTCGCCCACGCATACATAACTGGTCCGCCCCCGCGCGCTCCCCTCTTTCGCCCTCCCCTCGTCCGCCCCCGCGTGCTCCCCTCTTTCGCCCACGAACACTCCCCGCGTCCGCGCCCGCGCACTCCCTCTTTCGCCCACGTACACTCCCCTCGTCCGCCCACGCGCACTCCCCTGTTTCACCCCCACGCTCACTCCCCTCCCGTCGGGCACGCGACGCTTTCCCTCGGTCACACACGCTCCCTCCATGAAGTCGCCCACGCTCACTCCACTCCGTCACCCACGTGCATTCCCCTCTGTGCTGATTTGGTAGCAGCAGCCCCCTTCCATTCCCCCTTTGCAACCCTAAACTCCCTCTCCCCCCTGCTTCCCCTCCTTTTCTGGACTGCTTCCCCGCACGAAGGGCGGACGGTAGCAAGCAGCTACTGCTTCCCGTCTTCCCCCTTTTTCCCCTCTTCCATACGCTCTTCTTCCCCCTTCCCCCTCTCTGCCTTACGCCCGTTTTCCCCCTAACGCCAATCTGCCTTACTCCCCTTCTTCCACCTTTTCCTTATCTCCCTTGTTTTCTTTCTCCCCCTTCCCCACTCTGCCTTTCACCCGTCTTCTCCCCTTCCCCACTCTGCTTTTCAACCGTCTTCTCCCCTTCCCCACTCTCCCTTACACCCATCTTCCGACTTTCCCCTCTCTGCCTTGCGCCCTTCTTCCCCCTTACACCACTCTGCCGTATTTTAGCTGCCCCCTTTCCCTCATTTCCCCCCACCCTTCTTCCCCCACTCCCCTATCTGCCTTACACCCATTCTTCGCCTTCTTCCCTTACTCCCCTCTCAAATAGCCCCCCATCTACCTCATTCCACTCTGCTACACTGCTTTCGGTCCCTTACTCCCCTCGGCTATACCCCACGCTCTTCACTGCTCCCCTCACGTATACCCCTTGCTGTCCCATATTCCCCATGGCTATACCCCTTTCTCTCCCTTGCTCCGCCCGGCTATCCCCCTTTCTCCCTCTTACTACCCTCTGCTACACCCCTTTATCTCTCGTACTCCCCCCGGCTATACCCATTTACCACCCATCCTCCCCTCGGCGCAACCCCAATTTGTCCCTTACTCCCCCCGGCTATGCCCCTTTCTCTGCCATACCGCCATCGGCTATTTCTCTTTCTCCCCCTTCCTCCCCTCTGCTATACCCCTGACTCTCCTTGACTCCGCCCCCATAACGCGCCCTCTGTACGCATCTCCCTTCCGCGCTGAACGCAACCTTTGACCACCCGAAAATGCACCGTTGGTCCCCTTTATCCCTTTTCTCGGCCCTGCACCCCGTTCCCCCCTCTCCGCCTTACACCCTCCTTCTCCCTCTTTCCTCTCTGCCTTACCCTCTTCTTCCACCTATCCCCTCACTGCCTTACACTCTTCTTCCCCCTTTCCCCTCTCTTCCGTACACTCTTCTTTCCCATCTCCCCTCTCTGCCTTACTCCCTTCTTCCCCCTTTCCCCTCTCTCCTTACACTCTACTTGCCCCACCAAGCGTTCAGTGCCTTACACCGTGCTTCTCCCATTTTCCTCTCTTCCGTACACCCTACAAAACCCCTTTCCCCTCTCTGCCTTTAGCCCATCCTCCCCCCATTCCCTCACATCCTTACACCTTTATTCCCCCACCATGAGTTCTCTGTCTTACACCTTTTTTCCCCCTTTCTCCACTCTGCCATACCCCCTTCTACCTCCTTTCCACCCTCGGTGCCTTACAAGCTGCTTCCCCCTTTCCCCTCTCTTCCCTACACCCTTCTTCCCCCTTTCCCCTCTCTTCCTTATGCCCTGCGTCTCCCTTCTCCCACTCTCCTTACACTTTTCTCATTGCACCATGAGTTCTCTGCCTAACGCCCTGCTTCCCCCATTCCCCTACCTGCCTCGCACCCTTCTTCTTCCTTTCCTCACTCTGCATTACCACCTTCTTCCACGTTTCCAACCTCGGTGCCTTGCACCCTGCTTCCCCCTTTCCCCTCCCTGCCTCTCACCCTTCTTATCCCCTTTCCCTCCCTGCCTCTCACCCTTCTTATCCCCTTTCCCTCCCTGCCTCTCACCCTTCTTATCCCCTTTCCCTCCCTGCCTCTCACCCTTCTTATCCCCTTTCCCTCCCTGCCTCTCACCCTTCTTATCCCTCTTTCCCTTGCTCGCGCACCCACCTTGCTCCATCTGTCCCTAGATCATGCAAGTACCTTACTCCCACTGTCCCTTGATCACACGCCGTGCTCCACCTTTCCGTTGCATGCGCTGCCCTTACACCCCTCTCGATCGTTTGCACACTCCACTTTGCTCGAGCTCATGAGGTGTCATGCCTTCACTCTCCCCCCGTGCCCTTTCTCTGTCCCCCAGGGTTTAGGCACTTTGCTCAACCCGCCTTGCCTTCAGCCTCCCCCTGTCCTTGCGCCCGACGACATGAGCTCACGCCCACACCTGTTGCATTCCGCCGCTTGTTCCAAATCCAAGTGCACATGTGTGTCATATTGGTCATACGACTACGTTTGGTGACACTTACACGCCTGGGTTGCGCGTATGGGGTCCATCTATGGTAGCTACCACTATTGTCACGTAGTGTTTATGTTATGTCGGATAGGGCTGCCGCCTACACCCACTCGGCGTTAGTGGTACGGTTTGCCATTTATATTTGATTACTAAGCATGACGGAATGGGCAAGAGTCTGTAAGTGGCTTTAGGCAACCGATGTGCTGATATTCCCCTACACATTCCGTGTCTGTAAGTGGCAACTGGAATGAATGTGGTGTGGACCTTCAATGAACACATAGGGAAACCCGCCAACGGCAAGGGATATTGTGCGGTATCTCCTTTTTTCAACGCCAACAGGGTGGTACGTCATGTTGGCACACCTAGTGCCTCCACCAATCAAAGCGGACAATACTCATAGCGCTAGTACCTTCTCCACATGTAAGGGCTTCCCCTTGGTCGGTGTCCCCTGGCTACTGGTCAGTGTGTATGTTGCATGTACTGTGGATCTTGAAACCAGCTATGATAGGAATGTGGCATGTCAAATCTGGAATCTGTACAGGCGGAGGTTCTTGACTCTGACTGCCGGGACCGGGACAAGAAGGGCCGCACCACCGTTACAATCCGGGACTTTGACTTGAGTGGCAGGGAGGAGTTATTGACAGGGGTCCTGAGAGGGGGGGGGGGGGGGTTGTTGAAGGGAGGGTGGCACAGAGCAAACGGTACAGGAGTGAGGAGCGAGGTAGTAAGGGTGGCCCGTGGGTGAGTAAGGGCGGAAGTGTGGTTGGAGGTTGGGTTGTTGGGGGGAGGGGTGGAGAGGAACGGATGAGGGGTGGTGGTCGGGAGCAGCAGCAGGGAGGACGGGATGTGAGATGGGAGGACGGGAGGTTAGAGGAGAGGCTGGAATGAGAGATGAGAGGACGGGATGAGAGAGGGGAGGAAGGGACAATTGTGGGGAGCACGGGATGAGGGAGGGGAGGAAGGGTGAAGTGGTGGGATGGATGGGATGATATATGGTTGGAAAGTTGGGAGGAGAGGATGTATGGAGGAAGGACCGAACTGAGGAAGGGATGACGGCAGAAAAAGATGAGGACACGGTGTAGAGTGGCGGACAAGGGTGAAGAGAGGTCAAGGGGGGAAGAGGCGGAGCAGGGGGGGGGGGGGGGGGGTGCGACGAGGAGGGAAGATGCGGAACCCCTTGTTTTGGGTACGTGGGGCCATGGTGGTTGTTGACGAAAAAGCAGTTCATGGGAATTCATGAACCAATACATGCACACGTATGCACGTTTATTCACCTCAGTGGCGGTGAGCACAGTCCCCTCCGTGGACGGAGAGAGGGAGCAAGGGGGTGGCAGTGAGGCATGATAGCCTCATACTGTCGGGAGGACCGGGGGGGAGGAGAGGGGGACAGGGGGGGCAGAGGGGGACAAGGGGGTTTCACGCAACAACTACACTGTGCGGCACGAGTGCACAAGGGGGGGGGGGGGGGGTGTGGGGTGAGGAGGACAAGGGGGAGCGTGATCCAGGGGGGGGGGAGAGGAGGACAAGGGCGAGCGTGATCCAGGGGGGGGGAGAGGAGGACAAGGGGGAGCGTGATCCAGGGGGGGGGGAGAGGAGGACAAGGGCGAGCGTGATCCAGGGGGGGGGAGAGTAGGACACGAAGAGGGAGTGGTGGGCAAGGTGTGGAGAGAGGGACAAGATGATTACAGGAAGGAGGCACGTGGGATATCTGGAGGGAAAATACACCTTTCCACCAAACGTGTCGCCACAGCTCATCTATCCGCTCTTGCACATGCTGCTGCACACTCTGGGACACCCAACTTCCTAAGACACAGCTTCTCCCTGCACATACCGTAGTGGTAGGGAGTGAAGATGGGAAGGGAGGATCACAGGGGAGGAAGGGAGGACAGAGCATGAGGAAGGGATGAGAGGTGGGAAGGGAGGAGAGATGGGAGGATGCGAGGATATGCAACGCCAATGGAAGGGAAGGGATGGGAATGGTACGTTGGCTCGAGGGGACGGGGAGCGCCTGGAGGAGGAGTTACGGGCTGGGAAAGCGCCCAGGGTTCAACCACGTCCTCCCCACCCTCATCTCAGCTCGCCGCTTCCAGTCGTTTCGCTCCACTTACACTAAGCCCTCCCCCAGCGCGCACATGCCGCTGCAGGATGCGCGCGCGGGTCCGGGGACTCTTACGTGCTCCCCTCTTTCGCCCACGAACACTCCCCTCGTCCGCCCACGCGCACTCCCCTGTTTCACCCCCACGCTCACTCCCCTCCCGTCGGGCACGCGACGCTTTCCCTCGGTCACACACGCTCCCTCCATGAAGTCGCCCACGCTCACTCCACTCCGTCACCCACGTGCATTCCCCTCTGTGCTGATTTGGTAGCAGCAGCCCCCTTCCATTCCCCCTTTGCAACCCTAAACTCCCTCTCCCCCCTGCTTCCCCTCCTTTTCTGGACTGCTTCCCCGCACGAAGGGCGGACGGTAGCAAGCAGCTACTGCTTCCCGTCTTCCCCCTTTTTCCCCTCTTCCATACGCTCTTCTTCCCCCTTCCCCCTCTCTGCCTTACGCCCGTTTTCCCGGCGAGGCGTGAGGATGAGGCTCTCTAAAGGCGGGGATTCTGCCGTTTGTGATGCGCCACGTCGTAAGCAGCGTTGACGCGAAAACGACTCGCCGCCCTGCCTGGCGACGACGCGGGCTGGCCCCCGTGTGGCCATATGCGAGCGTTTACGTTCCACAATGAACACGTTACGCGCTGTTGGAAATCTGCAACGTTCTAAGTCGCAGTGGCGTGGTGGCTGTTTTCTCAGAATGCTCAGTGACTCATGTGATTGCTCAAGTCTTCATGCTCTGAATTGGGATGAACTGACGGGGTCAGGTTTTTCATCCCCGCCACTTGGTTGCGCCCAGGCCTTACGTTCCGCCCAACGCCCTTGAGGTGAGTTCCCCCAACCCTGGGCGATATTGCTTGGCTTCGCTAGCAAGGTTTACCACCTCGCACCAGGAGTCCAACCTAAACCAAAGTTCGCGCGCGAATCAGTGGGCAGAAAAGGGTGTACATGAGAATACACCCAAAAACCACCCCCACGAATGTGCACCCTTGCTTTAACCGTTAGATATCGACGCGATGGTGTGTGCATGTTCAAACCATTGGTCCGATCCACATCAGCTTCCTTTCCCTCACATTACATTCTGCCCGTCCAGCTGAACGCAAAAACCGTCGAGCGGGAGGAAGTACAGATTACCTCGCGCCATATTTCTCCCCTCGCTCCCGCCAAAATTTGGGGGAGAAGCCCGGGGATGGAATGGTTCATGGCAAGCCTGGTGTGCTCCACTCGGTAGCGTCTGCGTTCTGTCACTCGCGCCAGGCCGCACTTCAACTGTGCTGCAAGCCAAGCAGCCATTGCCCCAACCAACCATTCCACCCCATTCCATAACCACCATGCTGCTACAGTGTACCATCGTCCACCCTCCACCCTCTTCTCTCTCATTCCCCCACCCCACACACATGCTTCATGGATACTCTTTGACTTTTTGTCGTTAAAACCTACCATTACCCCACCCCACCTCTCACCACCACCACCGTACAACACTTCTCCCACGGACTGAGGCCATCTTCGGTTCCAGCACTGCTCTCCTCCTCCAGTGGTGAAACCCTCTGCTTGTTTACGGAACCTGCAAAGAGAGTCAGTATCAGAGTTATCTAGTGGTCTTTGAGCAGGATAGTGGCACGCCCCTGTCGCCGTGCTTTGGTGAAAGCTGCTGGAGCGAAGGCCTCTTCTTTTCTGTGCTGGCTCGTCGAGTTTTTAAAACCGCGCCTGGTCATGCCTTCACGATCTTGGCAACCGTAGCACCTTAGGAGCGAACGGCACCGCTTTGGCCATGTCGCTCGTTCTGCGAAGCGTCCTTGCGCAAGAGTCACCCTTGTTTCCAGTTCCTGACGTGCTTTCCACTTTGGGACTCTCGACCCTCGCCCATCCACGGCCATGGTGTAATTGCGCTCGTCGTTCTCGACTTGCCGCCGGTGTCCCCGCAATCCGCGTTGAAGCCTCCCTCTCGAAGTATCGACACGACAGTAGTTAGTAGCAGTAGTTGCGCGTTCTGTCCTTCTGCGCGCCTGACCATTTCAGCGCCCGCCAGTCCTTCCCCGCTCACCCGCCTTCGTCTGCGCGCAACCAGCCCCCTTCGATGGTCGCTTCGGTTGCGCCACCCGCGGGCGCATCCGCGGCGTCTCCGGTGGTGCCGGCGCGCACTCCCGTGAAGGCCGGCGGAGAGGCGATGGCTACGGGGAGGTCAAGAGGGCAGTTGCGAGAGGTGGAGAAGAACGTGAGGGACATAGGACGGGACGCGCGTGGCAGGGAGAACAGCAAGAGTAAGGACAAGGAGGCGATGCGCGAGGAGGAGGAGGTTGGGAGGGAGGTGGGAAAAGAGGTCAAGAAGGAGGTGGGGAAGGAGAAGGAGAAGGAGGTGGAGAAGGAGAAGGAGAAGGAGAGCTACGTGCGGAAGGATCACTCGCTGGCAGCGCTCTGTCACAAGTGGGTTCTTGAATCTGCCGCGTGTTTCCGTCCTTGCGTCTTCCTCGTCACTTGAGCCCCGTTTTATTTCTTCTCCCACCCAGCTTCCGATCCTCTCACCCTCTGAGCGTACCAGTCTCCCAGTAGCTATCCGTCTTCTTGCCTTTTGTCATCCCGTTCCGGACTCTCCGCTCTTTCGCTCTTCCCCGACCCCCGCCCT